GAACTGTGTTCTGTTGGGTAGAAAGTAGAACTTGTAAGCAATAAATGTGGATATTTAGTTGAATTTTCTAAGCAATGTGTTTAAGGCACAGTTTGATTTCTTTGTTGTTATAGGAAAATGCCAAAGGAAAGAGATAAATTGAAGAAAATATTTTAAGCAAAAAGAACCAGAACATGAAGATTTAGAAAATTCTCAGCCTATTTATATTTAAAGCAAAAAGAAAGAAAGCATGCTTTGAAGTCACAACCCAATTTTCTGGCTATACAACTGTTTTTATAAAGAAATTTTGGATGTGAGTTGTGGATCTAATCAACTATTACAGCAGAAACACTGCCAGCCTGGACCAAAGGGAACAGAGATAGAATAAAATGAAGGAAGGCTGTCAGACTTCTGTAAGACTTTTTAGAGAAAAAAGTGAATTGATAAAGCCATTCTATGATGAAATATGCTATCTACAAGAAAAGGGAAGAATAACTCCAAAGGGTAGTTCAAACATCACTGGAGCTACCACTGCTACCAGAGGCCGAGGGCAAAGGCCAAAAGGTTAGGCTGTTGTCTCTTCTGTTCCAAGGAGTGGGGCTGCCACCCATAGCTAAAGTAGGGCCAAACTCCAGATTTCTAAGGGAATAGTGCATGAAGCTAATAGGAATTATTCTCAAGCCTTAAAATCTAACCTAATCTAATTCTCAAGATTTGAAAACTGGCTTAAGATCTATGGCCTCTTTTTTCCTTCTAATTTCTTCTTTTGGGAATAGAAATGCCTGTTCTATGCCTGTCCCACTATTGTATTATTGGGAGAATATAATTTGATGTTTAGTTTTACAGGTTCTCAGATGGAGAAGAATTTTGCCTCAGGATTAAACATACTCCAAGTATTACCCATAACTGGATGACTTAGATGATGATATTTGGGACTTTGAGTTGATGATATTTAGGTGAGATGCTGGAGTTAAAACTGGGGACCTAGGAATGAGGTGAGTATATTTTGCATGTGGGAAGGACATGGATATTTAGAAGCCAGAGAATAGATTGTTATGGGTTGAACTGTGTTCTCCTCCAACACCAAAAATATGTAGAATTCCTAACCACAAGCAACTCAGAATAAATACCTTGTCTTTATAAAGATAATCAAGTTAAAGTGAGGTCATTAGAGTGGTCCTTAATCCAATATGAATGGTGTCATCAAAACAGGATATTTGGAAAAGGGACATGCACATGGGGAGAACACGATGTGAGGATGAAAGCAGAAATAAGAGCCTCTATAAGGCAAGGAAAACAAAATATTACCAGCAAACTATCAACAGCTAGAACAAAAACATTAAACAGACTCTCAGTAACAATCCCTCAGATGGGACCATCACTGATGACACCTTGATATCCAAATTCCAACCTCTAGAACTTTAAGACAGTAATATTCTGTTGTTTAAGTTATCCAGTTTGTGGTCCTTGGTTATGGAAGCCCTGGGAATCTAATACAAAGGAGAAACAGATAACACTTTCTGTTTTGGTGTCTGAGTCCAAGACCACCAGCACCTTTACCAGATACAACTGTGTGTGAGTCACATTGGACCATTACAGACCTCCATTGTTATGACCTCCACTAATGAATATATATTGGTATAGATGCTTTGTCTAAGGGTATCTCTGACTGAATTCACTCCTAAGCCATCAAGGAAATTACTGCAGTTAGAGCCATTTTATGGGGCATGTGAGGACCATGAACCTATTCTGCTAACAGTGCCTAGAGTGCTAGTGTCTACCCCCAAAAAATCAATTAACTAGGGGAGAAAAGATATAAATACCTTCATTTATGAGCTTCATGAACCCAAAATTTTCTGTGAGACTAGTTCTCCATTCAATAGTTCCGTCTGGCCTGTGTACATGGTCCCAGGTACACAGAAAGTCAATTGATTGTGGCTCAGTGACATAGTACAGCCCTGTGCACTAATAAGTAACTGATGATGGGACTGTCACAGAGGGTATTGCCCAAGATAAAGGAAATCAGTGTACAATAATTGACTTCTCAGACTCCTTTTTAATCCTCACCATCCATATAGATGATCAGAATCATTTTACACTTCTATGGAATGAATCACAATGTACAACTAAAGTCCATAAGTCTACCTATTCCCCCGCTGTCATCAATGGATAGGGCATAACCTAGAAAAAATCCCACTCCTAGAGGGAGCATAAATTTCTACTATGTTGATGATGACATTTTCCTGGTGGGTCCAGACAAGGGCAACATAAAATGACTGCTTCCTTGTTGGCCTACAAGTAGCAACACAACTAGGCCATTACTACAAACAAGGTAGAAAGACTTAAAATCCAGGATATGATCTAGAAAGAGGCACCACATCTTATTCCAGAGGAGGAAATTGCCAAGCCTTTGGTCCACTATATCTCAACATATACAAAGAGTCCCAATGATTTTGGAACTACTCAGCTACTGGTTTATTCATATTTTCCAAACAGGGATCTAATGGCATCCATCTTGGGTTACCAGTAAGGCCACTATTTTTGATTAGTCCCCTAACCAACAGAATGCCTATTTTGACTAGGGAACTCCCAATGAGTAAGTGAGAATAATAGGTGATAAGACTGCTGACCAGAATCATATTTCTAGATTCACTTTTGTTGGTCATGTTGATTATCAGTCTCAATCAAACCTTCTCATAAGATCATGTCAATCCATCTACAACACAATCCATAGCTTAACTGACACATTTCAGGACATGGTAAAAGTGTCTATTGCCTAGAGAAAAAACATTGACCAATGGAGAGAATGTCATGAAAATAGCAACTCTGATGAAAAATCCAGGCAATGGCCTTACAGAAGTCATCTTTGAATCTAGTTGCCAAACAATGGGGTCTCTCAAAGGAACAAATTGGTGGGCTCTCTACCAACAACTCATGGCTAGGTTGTGAGTCATGAGGTTCCCACATAGTAATGGCTACTATGACTAATACAAGTGCTATTCCTTCCAAATATCCCAGTGAACCTTGAGACTTGTGTAGTTTACTTCCTTGATGAAGGGGGTCATCTTTTAAAACTTAGTGAGGGTGACACTTTGTGGGGTCCATCAATACAAACCCTTCCTCCTTTTACCCAGACCTCTAAGCTTTCAGAAATGAACATGACCAGAAGTTAGACGTACTCAAGGCCATTATGTTTCTAGTGGGGACCTGAGGACCTATGCTAAGGTCAGAGTACAAAGTAGAGGTGGTAAAAAATTACATTTCTTGGGCCTTTTGGATACTGGTGAACAAATTACTGTGACTCCACAATCTCTGACACAAGGATGAGGAGGAAACATAATTCTGAGTGGTCTGAGGCCACCAACACCAGGCCTCTTTTCTAGACCCAAGTATGGATGAATTCCTTTGGGCCACCCCCATTATTATGGCTTTTACTGCCTAATACATCATTGGTACTTTCTATACCAACCAGTGCTTGCATTTACCCCTAACCTCTGATCAGATTTTCTGAAGGTAGGTTATTTTAGTGGGGTATATGTAAGATCATCACCTACCAAACTACCGGCACCTAGGACCACTGTCTTCCAAACACAATGCCAAAAGCCTAGAGAAGCCTAAAAAAAGGATAACTTCCCTCACTGTTAAACTTTAAAAAGCCAACCAAATATGCAAATCATTTCTCTATCCAATGGTTCCACTTGGCCTATGTGCAAAACCTCTGAAGTCTAGGCTTTAAATTGATTAGGGCTATGCAATGTGTCAGTGCTGCCTTTGGCACCAGTTGTGACAGTTATAGAGGCTATTGCCCAAAGTGGAGGAACTTACTATACTACAATTAACATCACAAATGCCCTTTTCAGCATTCCCTCTCCACGCAGATGGTCAGGATTAATTTGTTGTATATAGAATGGATTGCATTATACCACAAATGTCCTTCCACAACACTCCCTAAATTCCCTAGTTATCTGTAACCAATGCTTGAAAAAGTCCCTGGAAAAAGTCCCACTCCTGGAGGGAGTGCTAGATTTCCAATCTATTGATCAAATCATCTCAGTAGGCCATTATTATCAACAAAGTACAAGGACCTAAAACCAAAGAAAAATGTCTGGGCATCCCAGAGAAGCCAATTGTCGTGCTTTGGGTCCACTGTTCCCTCCAAATAAAAAATAATCTGATCATTTGTTAGACTATTCAGATACTGCTACACTCTCACAGGGATAAGAGCACCCATCTGTCGGGTTACCATAAAGACCTTTGGCTGGGACTCTACTGGACAGGATCCCCTTGGAGATCCTTCAACTGACTATCTTAGCTTCCCATTTTCTGGGCTCCTCTGATTTCCATTTGCTGTTTCAGTTACAGATCTCAGCAACATCTAATTTTGCCTGCTAGAGCCTATGGAAGAAGTCACAACAGGTCACAGGCACCCCCTTGGACTTTGGGTCTACAAGCTGCCAAAAAAGTGCATATCCTTTATGTGACAATTATTGGTTTTGGTAAAAACTAAGAACATGACTTTGGTTATGTAATAATCTTCTGATAAGAAATTCGAACCAAAACACATTAATATATTTCCTTTTGTTCTCTAGTTATATTAGGGTATTCACACTTTAGGCAAAGTTTAAAGTTTCTATAAAATACATGCTCAAATACATATTAACAAACCAAAGAAAGTTCTCATGCATTTAATTTAAACCAATATAGGGGTGCCTGGGAGGCTCAGCTGGTTAAGCATATGACTTCGGCTTAGGTCATGATCTCAGCTCAGGTCATGATCTCGGAGTTTGTGAGTTTGAGCCCCACATCAGGCTCTGCATCGGGCTCTGTGCTGACAGCTCAGAGCCTAGAGCCTGCCTCGGATTCTGTGTCTTCCCCTCTCTTTGCTCCTCCCCTGGTTGCACTCTGTGTCTCTCTGTCTCTCTCAAAAATAAATAAACATTAAAAAAATTTTTTTAAACAATATAAAGTTACCTGTAATTATTATACTTACTACTGATTCTTTCCTCCGTGGATTTTTTTTGTTTTTTAAATTGTACTTGGGTTTTTGACTCTGAGTCTTGATGTTTAAGGTTAAGATTTTCATCTAGCACTTCATTAAGAGCTACATAAAGAGAAATTAATAAGAAAACATAAAAGAGAAATTAATAATTAATAATAATTAATAAGAAATTAATAAGATCTACTGTAAAATCTCTAGATTTCAAATTTATAACAAGAGAACAGTAACATTTTCTCCCATTTTTATAAATTAATAAATAAATTATCCTAATACTAGATCTAATAGGAAAATTCTGAGAACATTTTTAATGGATGTGTATTGAAGATATTTCTTTATTTTATAAATATTCCAGACACCAAGTATGCTTATATTAGACTCTAATTTTCTTAGGTTATTTATACTTTAGGTTAAAACATTCAGACACCAACCAATAAAAATGCATATGCACAAGATTAGTCAATATGGCCTTATTTGTAATTGCAAAATATTCAAAACCATCTAAGTGTTCAAACAGATTTGTTGAACAAACTGATATATATACCATAAACAATAGTATATGTAAATCAAACTATTATGCTATATACCTTAAACTTATACAATGATGTATGTCAGTTATTTCTCATTAAACTGGAAAATTCATATAGTACCAATTATGATACATTATGGTGTGCATATATGTTTGCATATAAATATATAATATATATGGTATATAGGGAATGTAATGTGGTGCAAATAACTGTACATATAGTGATATATCCCCTTCCCATCTAAGCTAATATATCCAATCCTTGCCTGATATCATTTCATGGGGAAATGAAATATTGGCTGACACACTAGTAGAGCCAGTGCCCTTTTATGTTTAGATTTCTGCTTATATTTTATAATAAGTGAATAAAGCCTTAATTTTTACTTTCAATTTGGCTTGTTGTCTTAAGTTACTTCCTTCACATCTGGCAGCTCTCTCTTCGTGACAAATGGTGACAAGCAAGGTGGCTCAATTAAGCACAGTCTTTCTGGAAAAGTAAAAAGCATGAAGATACTCCAGGACGTTTTGAGATGTTAGAGAAGTCTATGAGATTTCTTGGAGAGTACCAGCTGATTATTTTCTAGAATCTGAGGGTCCAACAATGTACTTTGCCAGCCATATCAACGAATCACGGAATGCTATGGGCCACTCTTGGAGAGCACTAGTAGATTGATTATACACAATTTTTATGTTTGAGAGGTAACAGTGGTGCTTTACTTCAGCTCCAAACTCCATGGCCAAAATGCCTGATGGGCCAAATTAGAGATTCAACAGAGGGGCTCTGGGAAATCTAGGGAATCAATTCCTTTGCTAATGTTACTGTCCGATGATAAGATGAAAAATTGTTACACACTTTAAAAGTTTTAATTTATTTTTAATTATTTTGAGAGAGAGAGAGAGAGAGAGAGAGAGAGAGAGAGAGAGAGAACACACACACAAGCAAGGGAGGGGCAGATCAAAAGAGGGAGACAAAGAATCCCAAGCAGGTTCTGTGCTGTCAGCGCTAAGCCTGACTCAGGGCTCAAATTCACAAACCATGAGATCATGACCCGAACCAAATCAAGAGTCACATGCTTAACTGACTGAGCTACCCAGGTGCCCCAAGAAGGTAATCTTCTTTAACTTAGGAAGGGACAGTGGCACTTTGTGGGGTTCACCACTATAGTACCCTCCTTCAGAATAGTCTTACCACAGAAAACTTGATAGAGACTGACCCAAGTTGTTTTTCTTCCTCAGCTGGAGCTGTTTGGGCTCTGACAGCTTTGGTCCACTCATGATGGGTTCCCTATGACTAAAATACATGTTTGGACCACAACTGCAGAGGCACTAGCAGCTCTGCAAACTACTGGCGGTCCCTTAGTTCTACAATGAGAGAGTAAGATTAGTGGATGATAAGATTGTTAGCAAGATTCTAAGTTCATTAATGCTACTCCTGCTGGTTATCAAGGTGAATTAAACCTCCTCATAAGGCCAGGTCAATTAGTGAGTGACATAACCCAGATCATAAATGACAAATTTTTGGACAGGGAAAAAGCAACTACTGCCAAAATAACAAGGAGCGACCATCAGATAGAGTGACATAGAAATAAATAATCAGGCATATACTTCTAGAAGATTTGGGTAAGAACTTTCTCAGAGATCTCTGGGTCTTGTTACTAAACAATGGGAGTCAAAAGAAAAGATAAATGGACTCTCCACTGAGAAACTCTTGGTCAAGTAGTGTTCTAATAGGAGACAAACAGCAGTCTCCCTAGAGACTGCCCAGTGATGGTACCTCTGCTAATACAAGTGTCCTTCTCCCAGTGAATTATAAAATGAATCAAAAAGCCCTATAAATTTTTACCCAAACTTTTTGGCTTAAAAAAAAAGACTATAAAATGACAATTTCCTTATGTCCACAGTGAGAAATGGAGGCTGTATGCCAAAGTCAAATTTCAAAGTAGACTGGGGAGAATCACATTTCTTGAGGCTTTTGGATAGTGGTACACAGGTAGGTGACTGTAACCCCCAGAATCCCTGGCATAAAAATGAAGGGGAAATTGATAATACTCACCAGTTTTCTGTCTGAAGCCACCACCACCAATACCCTCACCCAGACTTGACTATGGGCATGGATCCTTTGGGGCTACCACATATCACCATTGTGATGGTGCCCACTCCTGAATGGATTCTTGTTATAGATGTATTGTATTGTTTATGTGCACCCCTGAATGCATTCACACTAAACCCTGAAGGGAATTGCTGCAGTTAGCATCATTTTAATGGGGCATATAGAAGACTATAAACTTACCAGACTACCAGCATCTAGTGCTTTTGTCTCTTAAAAAACGATATCAATGGTCTTAGGGATAAAAGGAAATAATTGCTCTTATTGTTGTGCATAAGGAAGCCAAGGTTCACTATCTGGTTTTTGAAAAAGGCCTTGGGTGCCTGAACATAATCAATTATTGGTGGCTCAACTGTGTAGTACAGCCTTTGGCACTGGCACTACCTGACATTATAACTGTCATAGAGGTTAATGCCCCAAGCTGAAGGAAATAAGTATGAGGTATTTTATATTACAAATGTCCTTTTTAGCATCCCTGTCCATACAGATCAGTTTGTCTTATGTGCAATGGGTTGCAATTCACCTTTAAGGCCATTCCACAAGACCATGAGCTGGAAAAAGTCCTATTCTTAGATGGAGCATTACTCTTCCACTATACTGATGACATCTTCCTAGTTGGCCCAGGCAAAGGCATAATCCAACAAGGACTGCATATCATGTTGACCACATAGAACAACATGCATGGGTCATTAATACAAATCAAAACCACACTCAGATATCACCTCACGCCAGTCAGAGTGGCCAAAATGAACAAATCAGGAGACAATAGATGCTGGAGAGGATGTGGAGAAACGGGAACCCTCTTGCACTGTTGGTGCGAATGCAAATTGGTGCAGCCACTCTGGAAAGCAGTGTGGAGGTTCCTCAGAAAATTAAAAATAGACCTACCCTATGACCCAGCAATAGCACTGCTAGGAATTTACCCAAGGGATACAGGAGTACTGATGCATAGGGGCACTTGTACCCCAATGTTTAGAGCAGCACTCTCAACAATAGCCAAATTGTGGAAAGAGCCTAAATGTCCATCAACTGATGAATGGATAAAGAAATTGTGGTTTATATACACAATGGAGTACTATGTGGCAATGAGAAAGAATGAAATATGGCCTTTTGTAGCAACGTGGATGGAACTGGAGAGTGTGATGTTAAGTGAAATAAGCCATACAGAGAAAGACAGATACCATATGGTTTCACTCTTATGTGGATCTTGAGAAACTTAACAGAAACCCATGGGGGAAGGGAAGGAAAAAAAAAGAGGTTAGAGTGGGAGAGAGCTAAAGCATAAGAGACTGTTAAAAACTGAGAACAGGGGCGCCTGGGTGGCGCAGTCGGTTCAGCGTCCGACTTCAGCCAGGTCACGATCTCAAGGTCCGAGTTCGAGCCCCGCTTGTCGGAAACTCTGGGCTGATGCTCGAGCCTGGAGCCTGTTTCTGATTCTGTGTCTCCTCTCTCTGCCCCTCCCGCTCATGCTCTGTCTCTCTCTGTCATCATCCCAAAATAAAACGTTGAAAAAAATTTAAAAAAACTCGCTCGAAACAAAACTGAGAACAAACTGAAAGGTTGATGGGGTGAGAAGGAGGGGAGGGTGGAGTGATAAGTATTGAGAGGAGGGCACCTTTTGGGATGAGCACTGGGTGTTGTATGGAAACCAATTTGACAATAAATTTCATATATTGAAAAAAAATAAAAATAAAAAATTTAAAGTTGTAGGGGCATCTGGGTGGCACAGTCCATGAAATATCTGACTTTGGCTCAAGTCATGATCTCACAGTTCATGGGTTCAGGTCCCACACTGGGCTCGCTGCTGTCAGCAAAGAGCCTGCTTCAGATACTCTGTCTCCTCTCTCTGACCCTCCCCTGCTTGTACTCTCTCAAAAATAAATAAACATTATTAAAAAATTTAAAGTTATATATAATTATCATACTTTTTATAATTATTATAATCTATAATTATTTAAACAGAGTTGTTTCTGTACTTGCATTTGAAGTTTTGACACTGAATCTTGATGCTTAAGCTTAAGACTTTTGTCTGGTACATCATCATGAGCTACATAAAGAGATTAATTTAGTCTCTTAATAGTAAAAGAAAAAAATAAATCTACTGTGAAATCTCTAGATTTAAAATTTGGAACAAATACAGGTCATTTTAATAACATTATAAGCAAATTACCATAAGACAGATGTGACATGAAAATTGTGAGAATACTTTTATTGGGTATGTGTTGAAGCTGTATCACTAACATCTCCATTATAATGTTTTAAATATAATGTTATACTATATATAGTCTCTAGTTTTCTTGGGTTATTTATACTTTAAATTAATACATACTCATATAACTAAAAGAAACTGTATATGTACATGGTTATTCACTACAGAACACTTGCAATTTGCAAATATTCACAACCACACAAATTTACAAGCAGATTGGTTAAACTAAGGTATACACTACACTCTAATGTATCAATTATGGTAAATAATGTGGTACAAAAACTGTACATACAGCTATAATATGAATGAAACAGATCTCTATAAACTGATTCCACTCAAGTGGATTTCTAGGAATAATGTTATATTAAAAAAACTGAAAAGGGAAAAACTTATGTGCTACCTTGGGTATGGAAGAAGGAAACATAGTAAATATATCTGAAAACAAAGTAATGGTTACCTACAAAATAGCAGGGGAACTGGCATTTGTTTGAGCATACCTTTTGTATATTTTTAACTTCTGAAGTAGGTTTAATGTTCTACATATTTCAACATGAAATGAAATCAATAAGGGTAAGAAGGTGAAATGTAAACTGAAAGCAAATTAAGTCAGATTAAACTGCTGAAGGAAAAATAAAAGCACCAATTCATCAATACAATATTTAACACAAACCCTTACTCTTGTACATGAGATTTGGGATAGGGAGGGGAAAGTCGACCACAAACAAATCATGAAATATTTTTGGCTGGTTTATTTTTCCATTGGTATATGCTAAGCTATTCTGAGACCATTTGAAAAGCATTGCAAGATTGAACAAATGAGTAAATGTGTTGATATTGTTCAGATATCAGCTACCCCAGCCCAGGGATCCATAAAATGGTAGGAGAAATTAGGTTGGGGTTTCTTCAGCTGTGAGACCATCCCCCATCTCAGTATGCACTAATGCATTTGACCCTTCTCTGGTGCTCTTCCATGGCATAAAACAGAACTTTAGTGGAGCTGGTGCTCTCCCTTGTCTAGACTATAGCCATGGCATATGGTAGTAGGTGAATAAAGGTTAATTGTTACTGTAATCTTGTTATCGTAATAGGTCAATTCAAAAACTGCATCTCTGTGTAGCAAATTGCCACAATGAATGTGTGGTCAGTGAAGCAAAATACCTTCCTGGAAGGAACACTTTAGGAGGTGCTATGAGTCTGAAGGATATGATAAGGGGAAGGGTACTACTGGATTATTTGCAAGAGAGCTATGCCAGGACAGCTAGGCAAATGTGTCTCACAAAGTATAAGAAGATACCATGGGGTTCTCTAGAGTGCTACTGTATTGTTCACACAAGCTTTTCAGTTCTGTAGGAGAACAACTGTTTTTTTCTTTAGCCTCTGATTCAGCTACCAAGATGCCCAATGATTCCAATGAGAGACACAGCAGATAGGCTCTAAGAAAACTAAAGAAGCAGTTTTGTGGCTACACATGGGTAAAAAAATATTGGAGACACGGCATACTGAGTTACATTCAGGGATTACTGTTAGCTCTAGAATGCCCCCAGATATAATGGACAACCTAAGATGCAGTGAGTTACAGAGACTCATATATTCATGAAAAAGAATGTAGAGTACAAGGATTGCTTTGCCCAGCAACTTAAAGAGATCTGGAAATTTGGGTAGTTTGCATTCATGAAGAAGAAGGTAAATCTTGTTAAACTTCATGAGGGAGAGGGGCACACTGTAGGGCTTGATATTGTAGAACCCCTTCTTCAGAGAGCCTTAACAATAGTGCCCATATTGCCCAAAGAGAGGAAAAGGGGATTAAAGACATGAACATCTGACACCATTCTCTTTCCTTAGCTGGGTACTATTCTGACATACCATTATGAGTTCCCTGCCACTGAAAAACATATTTGGATCATTTCTTACAGAGGCTCTAATGGCTTTGTGAGGCCCCCTAGTGGTATCTAGGGTAGCAGATGGAGTGAGGACAGTAATGATACGATTTTCAACTAGACTGCAATTTCTAGTTTGGTCCAGGCCATCTTCACTAGTTACCTACTTCAATTAAACTTCCTTAGAAGGCTATGTCATTTGGTTCATGGCACAATCCAGATCTTAACTAACGAGTTTTCAAAAATGGAAAAAGTAGCTACAAACAAGATTTTACTGTTGAGCCAGTGAACAGAGAGACCTAAAAATGGAAATTGGGTACCCACTCCTGAACCATCTGGTAAGGGTTTTTTCTAAAGAAATCCCTAGGTCTAGTTACTCAATAATGGGGTCTCAAGGAAAACACTGATGGACTCTCCACCAAAGATTTCTAGACCAGGTAGTAGGCCATGGCTCCCAATGCACCTCACCACTAAAGTCTAAATTATGATGACCCTTGACCAATACAAGTGTTCTTCCCTTTGCTTCTCCAAGTGATATTGAGAAGAATCAAAGAACTATGTACCACTTTTACTCAGACCTCTTAGCTTTCAAAAAAACAGAAATTAGGGAAGTGTTGGGTGAATATTCTTATGTCACCAGTGGTGATCTGAGGATGTATGCCAAGGTCAGAATTCAAAAGGGGGGTTGGGGAGAAAATTCATGTCTAGGGCCATTAGGATACTGGTATGTAGATGACCATGATCTCCATAACCTCTGAAACCAGAAACTAGGGGAAACAGATAATATTCTCTGATTTCTCATCTGAGGCTATCACCAAGGTGACACTTGGTCAAACACTACTATGAATGTATCCCTTCAGTCTACCATAAAACTGCATTTTTATAGCCCCCACTACTAAATTTATAATACAACAAAAGTATTTTCTATGTGCAACCCCATTCACATTCATCCCCAAGCCCTGATAGGAACTGCTATATTTAGGGCCATTTGAGTGGGGCATGTAGAAGACTGCAAACCTCCAAACTAAATATCACCTAGTACCTGTGTCTCCAAAAATAAACTCCTGGGAAGAAAAAGAAATACTCTCATTCCTGAGCCTAATGAAGCAAAAATTCCCCCATAAGACTATTTCCAATTTTAATAGCTAAGTTGCCCTTTCACATGGCTTTGGGTGCATAGTGACTTGATTAATTTTTTCAGGTAAGTACTATAGTACAGCCCTGAGTACTGGGGGTACCTGAAATTGTAACTGTCATACAGTCTTTTCCAAACTGAAGGAATTTGATATGCAACTAATGACATATCCAATGGCCTCAGCTGTATCCTGCTTCATGCAAATGATCAGTGTCAATTTAACCTTATGTGGAATGAGTTGCAATATACCATTAATGTCCTTCACATGACTACCAAATTGCTCCAATTTCTGTAACCAATGAATAGGTCATGACTTCTTTTTTTTTCAATATATGAAGTTTATTGTCAAATTGGTTTCCATACAACACCCAGTGCTCATCCCAAAAGGTGCCCTCCTTAATACCCATCACCCACCCACCCCTCCTTCCCACCCCCCATCAACCCTCAGTTTGTTCTCAGTTTTTAAGAGTCTCATGCTTTGGCTCTCTCCCACTCTAACCTCTTTTTTTTTTTCCCTTCCCCTCCCCCATGGGTTTCTGTTAAGTTTCTCAGGATCCACATAAGAGTGAAACCATATGGTATCTGTCTTTCTCTGTATGGCTTATTTCACTTAGCATAACACTCTCCAGTTCCATCCACGTTGCTACAAAGGGCCATATTTCCTTCTTTCTCATTGCCACATAGTACTCCATTGTGTATATAAATAGGTCATGACTTGTAAATGTCCTGCTCCAGAGGGAAGACTAGTGTTTTTTAAAATATATTTATTTATTTATGAGAAATAGAGAGAGCACAAGCGCAAGAGAGAGAAGAAGACACAAAATCCAAAGCAGGCTCCAGGCTCCAAGCACAGACCCTGATGCGGGGCTCAAACTCACAAACCGTGAGATCATGACCTGAGCCAAAATCGGAAGCTGAACCGACTGAGCCACCCAGGTGCCCTAAGAGGGAGGACTAGTTTTTAGTTGAATGGCCCCAGATAAGGACGCCACCCAAGAAGTACTAGATGCCCTCTTGACCCACTCGTAGCTCTTGGCTAGACTATTAGTACAGAAAAGGTACATTTACCTGGCACCCTAGTGAAATCCCGGACATGATTTCTAAAGGACATGATCTCTCATTCCTGAGGAAAAGATTGCCAAGTTTTGGCTCACTCAACTCCAATAAATAAAAAGAGGCCCAGCAACTAGTGGGACTCATGACTATTACATTCTCATTTTCCCTGTGTGAAATCCTTGATGATACCATCTTTGAGATTACCAGAAATGTTACTTATTTTTAGTGAGAATACAACAATAGGATGTCCTAAAGGCCCTCCAACAGACCTCCTGGCTCCCCACCCCCAATGCTCTTTTGATCTCTATTTCGTATTTGAATTATAGATCTCAGAAATATCTGTATGCCAATTGGACCCTATGGCAGAAGGCCACTGCTACAGGTCAGAGGCATCCATTGGGCTTTTGTATCCGTAATTACCTGGAGTTGGCTGAAAGGCACATTACTTTGAAGAAATAATTATTCACCTGTTTTGGGGCCCTGGTAAATTATGAGTGCTAGTCTTATGGCTATAAAATGATCGTAAGACTATAGATTCCAACCAAAGGGTATCAATATTTTCACTTTTTTTCTCTAGTTATCTTAGGGTATTCATATTTTAGTCAAAGTGTAACATTTCTATAAAATATATGTCCAAGTATAAATTCATGAGCCAAAATAAAAAGATGTTATAATGAGGTTATTTATTTTTATTGAGAGAGAGGGAGAGGGAGAGGGAGAGGGGGAGAGAGAGAGAGAGAGAGAGAGAGAGAGAGAGAGAGAGGAGAGCGCAAATGCACAAACAGGAGAGGGTCAGAGGGAGACTGAGAGAAAAACTTCAAGCAGGCTCCATGGTCAGTACAGAGCCCAGTGCAGGGCTTGATTCCATGACCCTGGGATCATGACCCAAGCTGAAAATCAAGAATCAGCTGCTTAATCACTGAGCCATCCTGGTGCCCCATCTAATGAGTTTAATTTAAAACAAGATTATTTGTAATATTATACTTACTACTAGGTCTTTCTCCTTTGTGGCTTCTTTGTTTCTCCACTTCAATTTCTGATTCTGACATTGAGTCTTGATGCTCAGGTAAATTATTTTCATCTGGTACTTCATCCTGAACTACATAAAGAATCATTTAGTCAACTAAATGAAAAAAAAGATACAATGTGAAATCCCTAGGTTTTAAATTTATAACAAGTGTGCATCAGCATTATTTCTCATTTTTAGAAAGTTATAATTAAATTTCCATAATGCTAGATTTTAAATGAAAACTGTGCTGTTGAACTGGTTCAATATTCACAAATCAATCAACATGATAAACCACATTAATAAAAGAAAGGATAGGAGCTCCTGGGTGGCTCAGTCGGTTGAGCATCCAACTTCAGCTCAGGTCATGATCTCACAGCTCGTGAGTTTGAGACCTGCGTCAGGCTGTGCTGACAGCTCAGAGCCTGGAGCCTGCTTCAGTTTCTGTGTCTCCCTCTCTCTCTGTCCCTAACCCCCTCACGTTCTGTCTCTGTCTCTCTCAAAAATAAGTAAACATTACAAAAAATTTTTTAAAGAAGGGATAAGAAATATATGAGCCACTCAGTAGATGCAGAAAAAGCATTTGACAAAATACAGCATCCTTTCTGGATAAAAACCCTCAAGAAAGTAGGGATAGAGGGAACATACCTCAACATCATAAAGCTGTATTCCAAAGACCCACAGCAAATATCATCCTCAATGCGGAAAAACTGAGAGCTTTCCCCCTGAGGTCAGGAACATGAGAGGGATGTCCACTCTCACCACTGTTGTTCAACATACTATTTGAAGTCCTAGACTCAGCAATCAGACAACAAAAAGAAATGAAAGGCATACATTGGCAAGCAAGAAGTCAGACTTTCACTCCTGTCAGATGCCATGATACTCTACATGGAAAACCATAAAGACTCCACCAAGAAACTGCTAGAACTGATACATGAATTCAGCAAAGTCAAAGGATATAAAATCAATGTACAGAAATTGATTACATTTCTATATACTGATAATGAAGCAGCAGAAAGAGAAATCAAGGAATCAATCCCATTTACAATTGCACCAAAAACTGTAAGATACCTAGGAATAAACCTAACCAAGATGTAAAAGATATATACTCTGAAAACTATAAAAACTTATGAAAGAAATTGAAGAAGACACAAAAAAATGGAAAAACATTCCATGCTTATGGATTGGAAAAACAAACATTGTTAAAATTTTTATTCTATGCAAATCAATATACACATTCAATGTAATTCCTATCAAAGTAATGACAGCATTCTTCACAGAGCTAGAATAAACAATTCTAAAATTTGTATGAAACTATAAAAGACCCTGAATAGCCAAAGTAATGTCAAAAAAGAAAACTAAAGCTGGAGGCATCACAATTCCTGACTTCAAGTTGTGTCACAAAGCTGTATCATCAATACAGTATGGCACTGACACAAAAACAGACACAAAAATAGATCAGTGGAACAGGATATAAAACCCACAACTGGACACACAGATGTATGGTCAACTAATATTTCCAAAGCAAGAAAGACTATCCAATGGAAAAAAGAAAGTCTCTTCAGCAAATGTTACTGGGAAAACTGGACAGCGACATGCAAAAAGAATGAAAACTGGAACAATTTCTTACACCATAACAAAAATAATTCAAAATGGATTCAAAATGGATGAAAGATCTAAATGTGATATAGGAAACCATCAAAATCTTACAGGAGAAAACAGGTGGTAACCTCTTTGACCTCGGCCACAGCAACTTCTTCCCAGATATGTCTCCGGAGGCAAGGAAAACAAAAGCAAAAATGAACTATTGGGACCTCATCAAGTTAAAAATCTTGTTCACAGCAAAGGAAACAACCAACAAAACTAAAAGGCAACCAACAGAATGTGACAAGATATTGAAAATGACATATTGGATAAAGATTTAGTATCCAAAGTCTAGTCTGTAAAGAACTTATCAAACTGAACACACAAAAAGCAAATAACCCAGTTAAGAAATGTGCAAAAGACATGAATAGACAATTTTCCAAAAAAGACATCCAGATACCTAACGGACACATGAAAAGATATTCAGCATCCCTCAACATCAGGGAAATACAAATCAAAACCACACTGAGGTATCACCTCACACCTGTCAGAATGGCTAAAATTAACAACTCAGGAAACAACAGATGTTGGTGAGGATACGGAGAAAGGGGAACCCTCTTGCACTGTTGGTGGGAATGAAAATTGGTGCAGCCATTCCAGAAAACAGTATAAAGATTCCTCAAAAAATTAAAAAGAGAACTATCCTATGACCCAGTAATTGCACTACTAGGAATTTATTCAAAGGATACAAAATGCTAATTCGAAGGGACAGATACACCCCAATGTTTACAGCAATGCTATCAACAATAGAAGCAATTTTGAAGCAAAATTGAAAATTAAGAAGCAAACGAGTAAATGTGTTATGTTATTCAGAGTCAAGATTTACAAAGCAGAAGAAAGGACACACACATGAAATGGAGGAAGGCAAGACAAAGCCCTGAGGGGATAGATTAGAATTGAAGGTTTCCAAGATTCATCATGAATTCTAAATATGTTTATGCAGGTTTACATGCACATGTATATGTATATAGGCATATGAGTATGAATATATACATGTACATATAAGTATATGTGAATACACCCAAGGAATCTAATTCTAGGCCAGATCTTATGTGTGATGTTTCAGACACAAACATAGATAGTTATAAAGGCATGGGAAAAAGAAGCTTCTCAATCCACAAAAGACTTGATACACAACTAGTCATGGTCTCAACCCCTTCTTCTCCCATGCTCTTGTCAATACATAGTGCATTCTTACTCTAGTGGCTTCTAATTGGAGGCTTCCTTATGGTGCTGGGGAAGAGGGGCTTGACTGAAGTATTGTTTAGGCACTCCCTCTGTGTACACCACCTCACTGAGGGGCACTTGAAGAAATTTTTCTCAGTTCCACTTTAGTCAGGACTTTTCTACTCCTACCCCTGCCACCACTACCTCCCAAGAACACAGGATCCATAAAATAGCAAGAGACTTTTGTTTGGGGATCCTTCAGCTGTGCGTTGATCCTCCCCTATATCTCATAGCAGTTGGACTGATGCATCTAATATTCATCCACTGCTGCTCCAAGAGAGGAAACAGAACACCGGTGTAGCTGGGGCCCTTTCCTGTTTAGACTCTTCTTGATACTATTGCATTAAGTGAATAAAGCCTTTTTATTTGTTACTTTTAATTGTTACTTTCATTTTACTTTTTATTTTAATGGGCCAACTCAAAAACTGGCATATCTCTCAGACAAACTGTAGTGCAGGCAAGGTCAATGAAATCCAATGCCTTTAAGGAAGGCACACTTTGGAAGATGCTAGTGAATTTGTGGGACGTTCTGGGGTGGGGTAGTGGGGTTCTATGAGGTCATTAGAAGAGTCTGAGAGCTGCCTGGGGCATTTTGGCAGTCAGGTCAGTATGTTTTGGACAGTCCTAGCAAACCATGTGGGGTGCTCTAGGAGAATGTGATTTTGGTTTTCACATAAGCTTTACAGTTTTGAGGGGGAACAAAGTTCTCTATTTTTAGACCTTGATTCATTGGCCAAGACACCTGCTGGATAAAATTAGAGATTCACCAGGCAACCTTTTAGAGAACTATGGAAGCAATTTGTGGCTACTGCTTATGATTCACCAATGATGGGACCTAAAGTTACTGGAGACCCTGCATTCTAAGTTGCACCCAATAACTATTGTTAGCTCTAAGCATGCTCCTGGAACAGCATACCACATAGTGAATGATTAAGACTTGTGCTTTAATGAAAAAGAATAAGCGCCATGGTATCACTTTCTCCAGTAACAAAAAAGATCTTAGAGACCTGCTTTCTTTGCCTCCATAGTAAAGGAAATAATCTTGTTAAACTTAGCGAAGGAAAAGGGCATATTTGGGCATCTCACTACAGAATACCATCTTCAGAAAGCCTTGACGGTAGCTGTATTGACTGAAGAGGTGACACTAAATGGAGGATGAAAAGAGAAAACATCTGAGACTAGTTACTGTTTTGGTTCTCAAAGGATGGCCCACCTGTGATGAGCTCCCTGCCACCAAAACAATGTTTGGATCACCATTACATAAGTGACAGTGTCCCTTTAAGCCACACTAGTGGTCCTAATGAAGTGAAGACAGTACATGATAATATTTTTATTTTTTTAATTTTTTAAATTTTTATTTTTTTTGAAGCCGTACTATTTTATATATTTTTTATTATGAAATTTATTGTTAAATTGGTTTCCATACAACACCCAGTGCTCATCCCAAAAGGTGCCCTCCTCAATGACCATCACCCACTTTCCCCTCCCTCCCACCTCCCCCCCAACCCTCAGTTTATTCTCAGTTTTGAAGTCTCTTGTGGTTTGGGTCCCTCTCTCTCTCTTTTTTCCCTCCCCCATGGTCTTCTGGTAAAGTTTTAAAGTCCACATAGAGGTAAAGAAAGCTTATATGGTATCTATTAACTTTCTCTCTATGACTTATTCCCTTAGCATATAACACTCTCCAGTTCATCTATGTTGCCACAAAAGGACATATTTCATTCTTTCTCTACTTTACCACATAGTATTCCATTAAACCACATTTCTTTTATCCATTCATAAGTTGATGGACATTTAGGCTCTTTCCATAATTTGGCCATTGTTGAAAGTGCTGCTATAAACATTGGGGTACAAGGTCCCCTATGCATCAGCACTCCTGCATCCCTTGGGTAAATTCCTAGCAGTGCTATTGCTGGGTCATAGGGTAGATCTATTTTTAATTTGGGGGGGGAACCTCCACACTGTTTTCCAGAGTGGCCGTACCAGATTGCATTCCCACCAACAGTGCAAGAGGGTTCACATTTCTCCACATCCTCGGCAGCATCTATAGTCTCCTGATTTGTTCATTTTAGCCACTCTGACTGGCGTGAGGTGATATCTGAATGTGGTTTTGATTTGTATTTCCCTGATGAGGAGTAACGTTGAGCATCTTTTCATTTGCCTGTTGGCCATATGGATGTCTTCTTTAGAGAAGTGTCTATTCATGTCTTCTGCCCATTTCTTCACTGGATTATTTGTTTTTCGGGTGTGGAGTTTGGTGAGTTCTTTATAGATTTTGGATATTAGCCCTTTGTATGATATGTCATTTGCAAATATCTTTTCCCATTCCATCAGTTGCCTTTTAGTTCTGTTGATGGTTTCCTTTTCAGTGCAGAAGCTTTTTACTTTCATGAGGTACCAATAGTTCATTTTTGCTTTTAATTCCCTTGCCTTTGGAAATGTGTCAAGTAAGAAATTGCTGCAGCTGAGGTCAGAGAGATTTTTTTCCCGCTTTTTCCTTTAGGGATTTGATGGTTTTCTGTTTCACATTCAGGTCCTTTATCCATTTTGAGTTTATTTTTGTGAATGGTGTAAGAAAGTGGTCATTCTAGGTTCATTCTTCTGCATGTGCTGTCCAGTCCTCCCAGCAACATTTTTTAAAGACTGTCTTTTTTCCATTGGATATTCTTTCCTGCTTTGTCAAAGATTAGTTGGCCATAATTTTGTGGTTCCAATTCTGGAGTCTCTATTATTCCATTGGTCCATGTGTCTGTTTTTGTGCCAATACCATGCTGTCTTGATGATCACAGCTTTGTAGTAGAGGCTAAAGTCTGGGATTGTGATGTGTCCCACTTTGGTCCCCGCTATTTG